GTTTCTAAACAAATGACAATGAATTAGGATTTTAACACGTTGAAGCTGCCACTTGATCAACTTTAAATCCACAAGATACAACAATAGCGAAAAGATTTTGGGAACGTGAATTCCTTACTTTTCTATTATCACTCAAGGTAGGATACTATGTGCAAGTTGTTTCGTCCTCGCAATATTATGATTTTTTTACGTGATTTATTTCGTGAAATGCTAATTGACTTGCGGGTCCCTATGAAATGAAATGAAATGTGAGATCTCCTTCTGGTCTTCTCAAATGTATTAGAGCATTCGATTGATCAGCGATTGCTCTTGACGAAATTATGGTATGGAATGTTATAGATTTTTATCTTAAAAGTTATTATATTGTTTGGACGCATGTATCCTACTGAGTATAAATTACTCACTCCTTCAACTTCAACTTCAACATTTCATGTTAGTGAGGTCGACGTAGATGGTGACTGGGCGGTGCGCGGGCTGCCAAGTAAAATAAAATTTATCTTTTAGAAAATTCTTCAATAATAAAAATTTTAGAGTATTTTGTGTTTCCTTTTTTTTTATTATTTTTATTGAATGTTCTAAACTTTGTTACATTATTTCAATATTTGAGTATTCAATAAATTAAGAGTTTTAAATTTTAGAATTAAATATTTCCGCTTCAAGTATGAGTTATGAAACGATATCGGTGACACCCCAAAATTTAAGTCAATAAAATTTGGGGCGTTACAGTACACTTGGTACTTCAAATTTTGTTCTGCTCTTAAGTTATCATTATTGGAGCAAACTATACCTAATAATGGCCTTTTGCTATATGATTTTAAAAAAAAAAGAAAAAAAAAAGGTTAAACTCCAACCTTAAAGGTCTCCCACCGCCCTGCCCATAGAGTATCGTGAGAGAGGTTAATTGTGGTATGTGCTCCAGCTGGTTAAGAAATAAGAGCTGCCTGTACACTGGTGCCCACAAATGGTCTCAATCCATATTTCAGGAATCGAACCCTCACACTACGGTTACCAGCAAAGTTGAGTATATCTCACCCTTGTCCTTTGCACCATTGGAATATGCCCCCGGCGGCACCTTTTGCTATATGATTGAAACTACTAGAGTCGGTGTATATTGTAATCTAAACAATTGAAAAGGCACGTGCGGAATTGAGGAATTAGGAATAAGACCTTTTTGTGTCCTTCAATAGGACATATTTAACATGTTTCAAAAGACTTATTTGATACATTGATTTAGCCCTTTTTTGAGCACCATTACTGTAAATAAAAAAAAAGGCATTTTGAATAGTGTATTGATGGGAAATGTGTGATTAAAAAAATGAAGAAAAATCATGAATTTACGTATAATATTATTTTGTTGAAGAATGTGTGGTTGAAATGTGGTCAAATCACTATTGAAAAATATATTTTAATAATAAAAATGGGGCTCTAACAAGAGCTTAGTAAAAATATAATCTCATTTCTCTAGTCAATAAGGATTTGGTCATCTATGAAGACATGAAAAGGTTAGGCGTGCTCTCAAGTCTCAACTTATAATATTCTTACCTGAAACATGCTCTATTCAATGTATCCAACATGTCTCAAACATTTCAAATTCCTTCCTTGAGAATTAACAAGCTCGATTTCAATAGGATGGGTAATGTGGAGAGGAGAATTGATCTTGATTATATACCTATTATATAGACTAACCATTGGACTAAGCCCCTATTTGTTTTGGATTTAAAATCTCAATTCAAATTAAATATTAAGGCCCTATTTGAGCCCCATTAATTTGAAATAATGTATTATGAAGTAGTGATTGATGGAGAATGTGTAGTTAAAAAAGGAGGATAAGTTTTTTATTTGCGTGTAATATTATTTTAACGAAGATGTTGTTAAAAATGAGTATTGTAAAAAAAATAATGAGAAAGAATGTAAAGTAAAGAATGACAAACATAGGCTAAATTTTAACCACATATTTTATATGACTCACAACTTTTCAACAACACATTTCAAAAATTTCGATAAAAAAATCTAATTTTAATCTCTCACCAAACGCCCTTTAAGACGAATTCCTCTTCCAATTCTAGATGAAGATCGAGAGAATAACAAGCAAGAAAATAAATATTTCATTGGCCCAACACTCTCTAAAAAGTGAGAAACAAGTGAGTTTTGACAGTAGATTTTTGTAAGAACTTTGACCACCATGTATTCTAGCCGAAATTTTAGTTTTCATTGGCAGGAAAGGAATGTTGTGAACTATATATATTTTTTGCCCATATTTAACTCCTCTACTACGAGAGTGATAATTTTTCGACCTTTCATTCGGTGCACCTCATATTTCCTCACTTGCAAGAATGAAATTTGGGATCCAACAATCCTTCATACCAATCATAATGTACTTCACGATGTTGAAGATAATTTTCTCGATCCCCAAGTTACCATATCTTATGATAGTCTTGAAAAGAGATGTTTTGATGGCTTATTATAATCTCATTCATCTACTATTTTTAGATTTAGTAATATCATAAAATGATGATGGAGATCACTCAGTGTGTGTATGACATGTAGACGTAATTTCCTTATCATATGGAAGAGGGACATTGTAATGAGACAAAACCCTAGGAATAATTTTATATTAACAGATACAAGCAAATTGTTTGTTCATTAAATAGAAACCTTAATCGTTAATCAAGAACTAGAATTTAAAGCTAGCTTGAAAAAGAATTGGAGTGGCACGTAACATGGAGAAATCATATTGATTGTAACAGGGCAGGGTGACCTCATTAGCAGCCACTTGGTGTTTCAAATTTTTTTCCACTCTACAAACATGTTGCGTTTCATCTATTGAAACAATTATATCCTACGATCTTTGTCGTTACATGCATTAAAACTACTATTGATAAAGTGATTGTACCCATAAATTGTAGCTAAACAATTCAAAAAAGCGACAGCACATTTGAGGAATCAAGTATGATACCTTTCAATTTTCATGGTTTTGAGGAGGATATGCATTTCAAAAATATATTTAATCAATGAAAGATAACAAATAAATACCTAATATGCCCATTTCTTTAACTTATTGAAATTTATCCTCATCTATGAAGGGCATTAAAAGGTTAGGCGTGCTAAAGCTAAAAATGGTCAAGTTCGTCCCCATTCAAGTAATTATTAGACCAAGCATTGGAGCATTTTAAAGTATCAACTAATGGACCTTCACAAGGATTCAATCTGCTTTCTTCATAGAGCCAAAAGTATTGTGGGGTTTGATGTTGAACTCCACTTTGTTAGGTGTTGCACAACAGACCAAGGAAAAGCAAGGCCCCCATTATTCGCGGGGACAGACAAATACTAAACGACAATAATAACAAATAAAGCATAATTTCCAATAAATTCAACGTCTATTATATACATTTTTTACTCCATATGATTCTGGTTTCTTGCAAGATACCTACCTGGTAAACAATTGATGAGTCTGATGATTTTGATAATTAAGCCTTTGTTTGAGCCACATTATTAGAATAAAAATGTATTTTTGAATAGTGTATTGATGGGAAATGTGTGGTTAAGAAAAAAGGAAAAAATTTAAATTTACGTGTAATATTATTTTATTGAAGAATGTGTAATTGAAATGATATCAAATCACTATTGAAAAATGTATTTTTTTGAAAAAAATGTGACTCAAACAGGGTCTAAATTGAAAAAACAGTAGAAACATAATGCCAACATAGGTGTACACTAATTTTACAATAATAGCCTATCCAAATCCACCTAAAGAAGACAAAAAGAGAAAAAAAGGGGTGGAAAGAAAAAAATGATAAAGGCTAGGTATACAAGTCTAAACCTACTTCAAATCCTCATCATTCATTGTAAATGATGACTTTTCATTCATTCCAAAAACAGTTGTGCTGGGTGTACAACAATACACCCATACACTCCTCTCACAATGAAGAGGTCCACAAATATAATATTCATGTGGACCTCCTCACATTTTGAAAGGGTTGACACGATAGTATACAAGAAACTTTATTGTTCTAAAAATGCAGAATTATCAACAAAAAGAAAAGGATTTTTCTAGTTGTACATTGGGTTTGACACCCCGGTGTACCGACCCCCTCACAAGAGGGGGGCCCACGCCAAATAAAAAAATCGTGGGCCCCCTCTTGTGAGGGGGTCGGTACACTGGGTGTATATGTAGAAGAACCCAAAAGAAAAAAGCTACCAACACATTGACAGACAGTACTCTCAGTACAATGGTAAAACAATTAAAAAGCCTTAAAGTAGCCATTAGAATAGAAAACTTGCAGCCGCCACCCCCAACTTTTTACCCTTTTGCACTTTTATCCCAACTTTATTTATTGGCACTTTCCGTCCCTACTGATGGAATCCATCTAAGGTATTTCCATTGTGTGCATCAAGAACAATCTGATTAGTCTTGTTTGAGATCAATACAGTCACAGCAAATGCCTTCATGTTAAATTGAATATTTCTAGCTTGTAACTTTGCAAGATGCAGTAGCACTGTTCTGTGTGTGGGTTGGGGGGATCAGTTGTCCTTGATTATATACAAATATTATTTCGCTAGTATACAATAGATAGATAGGAAGATAATTGGATATTTTTTGCTTCCTTGACAGTAAGATAGCAATCCTAAAAGAGAGAAGTTTGCATTATGGAGTGGAGAAAGTGACCTTTCCAAATGCTAGGATAAAGATGACCGAGAGAAAATAAAGAGGAAGTGAACTTAGATATGCATGTTGGGAAATTATTTAATTTATAATGTGGGCCAACATATTTAATTAATTGTGTATAAAGACTATTTTAAAGTTAAGTTCAAAATTAAAGTGATCTAATAAAGAATTAAGTAATTGGGCTTAGAATATCTAAATAAAGTGTGGGCCCTATTATATGTGTAAAGATCGGATTCCTTTAGAATTATATTTCATATTGGATGAAATACATATGGAAACTATATATAGGGCTATGACCCCCAATTCATAAGCAACTTCTCATTCTTTGTATCATCCCATCAACACAAAAATTTGGAGAGAATGCATATTGAAGAAGAAGATCCAAAAATCCACAATCAATAACGTAAAATCTACAATCAAGAATCAAGTTGAAGGAATTCAAGAATCAAGATTATGGATCCAGAAGCAAAACCAAGAACAAAAACCAAAGAATTCAAGGAGGCAAAAATTCAAGATTGAAAGCAAGAAACCAATCAAGAAGGGATTCCAGGTTGATTTTGAAGATTCAAGATCTGAAATTAAGATCCAGTAATAAAAAATCGTTCCCAAAGAATTAAGGTATATTTTGTATTATTAATTTTCTTGGTTATTTGACATGAAGGATCTTAGCAATAAAGTAATTAAGTTTTTATGTTATTAAGATTTGAAGTTTCATAAAATATCAACAATACCTAATGGAAAAAGGTCTCATCTTAATTACAGATTCTGATTTAGAAAGTGGGGTAAGATAATCCTACAGAGGTCGTGTGAATCATTATAAGAGAAAGATTTGATTTGATTTGTTAATATAAAGCACCAAAGGTAGATTTGCTATCTTTTCACCGAAAGCACAAGTGTATGGTATATTGACAAGTAATAATCTTATTATCAATTTCTATTCTAACGACTAAACCTAGCTTCAAATAAAACTAATATTGTTACCAAGCAATAACTTAAGGATTGAATTTAAACTAAGATTGTACTAAAATATATCTAACACAATTAACACAAGGAGACTTTTTGGAAAACTTACGGGATTCGGTAGTTGGGATCTTTGATTTCACTTAACGTCAGTTAATTTTCATTAGTTTCAATATCCTATGGCCTTTTTCTATATATGCTAACAATCAAATTAACCAATTATAACGAATGATCTCTCTCGAGTAAAATTATGTATTATATCTTATTATATTGATGGAAAGAGGTAAAATGAAAAGTTATAACGAAGCAATAAAGTTTGATGAGTCAATCAAGTGAAAGGCAGCCATGAGGGATTAGATGAACTCATTATTATCTAATTAGACATGATAGTTGACAAAGTTACCACGAAGAAAGTTGACTACGTAAAATAAATGGGTATATTGATTAAAAGAAGAACATGATGACAGTAAATGATATAAAGCCAAACTGGTTTTGAAGGAATATCAAAAGAAAGTTATGCTAAGAATTTCTCTCTCGTAATGAAACTAACAACATCTACAGGTAATTGGACTGATGGTATGGAAAGAATTGCACCTAGGGCAATTGGATGCAAAGACGGTCATTTTTTCATGGTGATTTGGACGAAAAAATTACAAGATGCAGCTATAAGTTTTCGAGGTACAAAAACAGGGGAAAATGGTATGTGGACTTTAAAATAGTTTGCATGGTCTTAAATTAGTTTCGAGAGAGTGTTATTAGTAGTTTGACAGTTTTATTAGGAGTAATGGCTTCATAAGGTGCCACATGGATCATTGTTGTTATGTAAGGAATCTTGGTATCTCCTATATTATCTAATGGGTATATGTGATTGCAGGTGCTTGCAAAAATGAAGTGACAAGTTGAAAAATGAGTTATCCAATGAACTTGCAAAGAAGAATTTGGGTGTCATAAAATAAATTCTTGAGATGAGAATTACAAAGGACAGTGTCATCTTGAAACTTTCACAAGAATGGTATGTGAAGAAGGTGTCGAGCAGGTTCATGATAATGTAAAATGAATAAGCACTCCTTTGACTAGTGACTTCAAGCTATCCAATGAGCAGCCACCCTCTACGAAACAAGAGTGGAACTACATAGTTAAGATGCCTTATGCCTGTTTTATTGAATCTTAAGTATGTCATAGTGTGATCGAAGCTAGCAAAGAAATGATATGGTTGTAGTCTTTCTTGGAAGAATTGTGTCACGTTGTATTGTATTATGATGGTCAAAATGTTATTCACTTAGCATAGAATTATATATTTATCTGGTAAGGTAGAAGGCATATATATGTCCGTTATTACTTAATCAGATCGACTTTGGAAGATAAAATTTTGATACTTGAGAAAAGATTCAAGTTAGTCATAATTCAATCGACATGTTAACAAAAAATATTTAGATAGAAAAAGTTGAAATTGTGTGCAACTTCAATTGGACTTTTTTAAAGGATCGGGGAGTTTGCCGCTGTAGATAATTTATTGATGGTGGATTGATCTTTAAGTCGGAGATTGTTAAGCTGTGGAACTTAATCATAGTCGTTGTGCAGAGATAGTACGCGGATCGACCTCTGAGATAAAGTTGTCGTGAGGTTGAAAGGAGGCTTGGGGTGCAAGGATAGCCCAAAATTTCATAAGGACTGTTTAAAATTGTTACACTTATAATTTCGATTTTGTCCTAATTTGTTTTATAAATAGAAAGTTTTCATTAACATTTTACCGTCACCTTCAAAAAGAAAGAGAGAATTGTTAGAGAAGATAGGGTGTACGATTTTTTCTTGTAAAACTTTTTTCATTCTAATGAATTAATATAGTGACAAAAGGGGGCGTAGTCTCGCGTCGAAGAAAACATTATAAATCTGTAATGTTTGTGTGTGTCTATTTGTCATTCTGTCAATTGATTATTGCTGGGGAATATAATTAGAGTTACTAATTCTCAATGGCAGGGTTGAAAACATGATGAGAAAATATCTTTTCTTTTTTCATTTTTTTGTTTATTCTCTTTCTTTTGTTTATTTTATTTAATTATTTTAATTGTTTTAGGTGGAAAACTTAAATTTATGATTTTGTCATTTTTGAAATTGGTCAATTAATGTTAGACATTGGTCAATTAACAATTTTATTGCTGGAAACCATTTAAAGGTCATTTCACAGTATATATTTGAAAATTTTGGGATGTATCACTGTATTAAAGATTTGAAACCGTGATGCACTTTTTTAAAAACCTTGAGACCTCTATTGCAATTTTTTCTGAAGTAAATACTACACCCAATGACGAAAAATTTCGATACCTGCAATACTTGACAAAATTCAGGGCACATAGCAATTTTTAGTAAATTTCAACAAATATCCATTAGTTTCAGCATCAATAAGTTCAAATTAAAATATAGGAACATTATTGGATAATTAGAATCTTTTAGAGTCTCACTAACTACATGGTAGCCAAGAATTTTTCACAGTTCAATTTTATTGACATAGAAAATTGCTATACGACTCTATTAATGTCATATGTGTTTGTGAGTGAACATTTTGCAAAAAAAATAAAAAATAAAAAAAATTGATATTCTTGCTCAGCCATGAACGCAAATGAGATGCTGGTTAACTTCTTCCACAGTAAAAAAGGGGTAGGAAGTAGCAAATTATAATTCTATGCTCAACTCTATTTTTGGACAAGAATCTTTCTTATGTATTCCTTTTACTATATAAATCGATAGAAATATTACAGGCAGTAGCAATTGTTAAATATTTGCCCATCGGGGGAATGACCTTGGAGGGTTTATCGCATGATTTCATTTCTACATACAAGTCGGTTGTTTCGATCTATACATTGGCAGATGGATTCAGCTCTTTCTTTCCTATTCAGTATCTCTATGACCCTGCCTTTCCCATCATCCCCTATATGTGTTCTTCGGCACACTCCACCAATCGAATCTTACAAGCTCAATACTGATGAATGCATCAAGGATATATTAAATGGCAGGCTGGACATTGTATCGGGGCATTATCTTCTTCCTATGATGGTTACCTTATTCTAGAGGCTAAATTTCAAGCCACATTGGATTCTTGCCAGATAACTGAGATTTTAAATATTTGGGTTGAAGTGAACTCAATTGTGGCCGTTCACTGCATCATTATGGGTGGAGGGCCATGGGCAATTTAGGGTACTTTCAAACATATTAGGCACCTCCTCTATTTTGATTATGATACTCTCTCTCACATCCACCGTGAGGGAATCGGGTTGCATATACACTTGTCTCAAAGGGCTGGGACTAGCGTTACTACCAAGAGTATGGGCCATATGACCTTCCTCGATGGGTTATTACACTTGTGAAGATTGATCTATACACTTTTACTACATTTGTTGTTTTGTTGCTTTATGGAGGTCAGATTTATGTCTCCATCTTTTCCTGTATTCTCTCTCTCTCTCTCTCTCTTATGATATATACATGAGAAATCCTAACCCCCATCGACCTTTCTTTATAGAGTTTAAAACTCATTACGAATATGTGGATATCTTTGCTTTAAAAAAAAAAAGTAGGACAAGTAACTTGTCGAATCAACTTCTCCCACAAACAAGCCCAACATAACAAAACTACGTGTGAACTTTCATCAACTTACAAGAGTTGGCTAGAAAGTAAGGGTGCTCAAGTGCCTGCTCGACTTGCTCTACCAACGGTTGAGTTGGTGAGACAAGGCAAGCCCATATTTTGTGAAGTGAGTCATCTCCAGCTCGATTCGTCCAACATTCGAGCTCGAATCGAGTAATATGGTGGATTGGGCATAGCAGAATGATTCTATCCATTTAACACATCTAGTGAATGTGTAAGAGGAAAGGATGTACAAGTATCTCTGCCTAAGAACTTAGCTATGAAGATAGCTTGAAATTCATTGCAAACAAGCACACGACCATCACTTTAGTCATGTTTTAAAAATCGAATTACACTGATCATGACTCTTATTTTCGTGTTCTCTTCCTTCTTTCCACGCTTTTTCTTCTCTCTCTCACTTTTTGGCCGACAATTTTGTTTTCACTGCCTAGACTTTTATATCACATTCCCCTTACCTTGTATACTTTATTACCTTGTTTGTGTGATCCTCTCAATCTCCATTTATTTACCCTTTTTCCCCCCTTTTCCATCAAAGAAATTTGAAGAACATTTGGCTGATTTAATAAATTTTAATATCTTTGGTTAATTTTCATTTATGCACTTAATTGTTATTTTAGATAGGGCCAATTAGGTCTTTTAGGAATTTCTTCCTAAATTTTAATTGGATGGTAATATTGTTAACACAATTTTTATTTGAACATCGCACTTTAATTGCAGTTAAGCTCCTAAATTTTTATTTATTGTAACAATTATTTTCTTAACTCTTTTTCGTTGATTTCTTATCTTCAATCTTCTATTAGTTAGTACATCTTATCTTTGATAATGATTTATACTTAGAAATTTTATTTTCATTATTTGAAATGAGGGAAAAATATTTTTTTCACTTTTTATTTAATTTTTTAAAAAATATAATGAAAAAATAAGTTGTTTTACATCATTTAAATGGATTTTTTTAATATAAAATTGTTATCAAAGGAAAAAATGTGTTAACTGATGAAAAGTTTGAGGATAAAAATCATATGAAAAATTGTTAGAAACGTAAGTACTATAGTTAGCAATAATTAAAAATCTTAATTGCAATTAAAATGTGGTGTATGAAATAAAAATTTTGGTGTGAATATAATTGCATATTTTATGGGACTTTGGACAAATACCCATAAAATCAGGAAAATTTTGAAAAATTAACTTTAATAAAGTAATATTTTAATACACATTACACAAAGTATTAATTACGTTGAATAATACACATCAAAACAAATCCCCAAAACTAATAAGCTTGCTCGACAAATTCAAATTAGAAATCGAAACGTGCTTCTTAACCATTGATCCAAATTTAGAACGAAAATCGATTTCTGCAAGGAAAATTTTCAAATTTCGGTGTTAATTTGATTACAAAATTAATCCGCCACTGCAATTTAAAGCTTTCCAGGTAACATTCTCATTATTATTTTCTCCAATTATTTTTGTTAAAATCTAAGATTATCAGAAAGTATGTTTTTTTATTATTTTTTTTATTTTTTTTGCTGCAAATTATTTATTAGTGCTCGTCGGTTTGAGCTTTTTTTGTTTACGCTGCATACATTGGATTTGAGGTTTTTGTTTGTTTGTGTATTTGCTCTCTTCCAAAATGTTTGGCTCATAAGATGATTCATATGTACAAGGTGTTTGTAATAATTAGAGATGCATGCAAAATGCTCGTGAAAATGTAAATATGAATATGAATTAAAGTTTTGCATTCAAAAGTGACATGTTGTGATACTTATTATAATGAGAAAAAAAATGTTGTTAAAATGTAATATAATCAATCAAAACAATGACAATTGTGAATACTATAATATGGCTACTTTTGTGTTGATATGAATTAAGATTGAGCATTTTCGTATCTGTATTTTTTAGCAAATATCTATAAAATCAATGTCTTTATTTATCATGGTAAAAAATGAGGAAGAGACAACCAATACATAGATTTTAAAATGACCAGAATTGTTTTCCTCATAGGATGCACATACAACAAACTTAAAAGAGATGTATATTGTTGTGTTAGGTAAGAATTAAGGTTCTGCATTAGACAGTAATAAATATATTGTCACTTTTTAATTAAAAGGTAACACAATTTGTGTAATTTGAATTTTTAGGTAGAATATATTGCTAAGGGTAAAATGTGATTATATGAACTTCTTATACTAAATTGTATAATATAGTGTTTTTTTTTTTAAGCATTACACATTTTTTCTTCTCTCAATTGCCGAACCTGATCGACTT